CATGATAAATTTTATGCACTTGGCTCTGGGCTAGGTGATCCCACATTACATCTTTACTTTAGACTTATTATACCAACACTCACTACACTTGTATGATTTCACAGCACACACATACCCTCACAGCACTCTTGCACCCCATCACTAAAATTGTAATTGACAGATGGTAATCAAACTATTCTATCTAGATAAATGAATTTTGGGTTTTATAACTCCTATTTTGAGAAGTGTGATGTGATGTGACACACACTGGCTTTTATATTGGTTTAAATTAATATATATATGTATAAAAAAAACTTTATATGGAAATTTTGGCACCTTTTGGATTTACAAATTGGCCTGTATTTTGGTCCCTGTAAAGACTTGGGTACAAAGAATACTTTAAAGGATATTTTGATTTTTTTTTTGGTAGTTTTGTCAAGCAACATTACAAAGTTTTTTTCCTAGTTATTATTTTCAAGATGTTTTTCATTTAAATAAATGTATTGCATTTGGTTTTGATGTCTTCATTGTATTACATGATAACTGCCAATTGCAATGGTATTTTTAGGTTTTAATTTTCACAGTTTTGGGCTGTTTACAAAATGCATACACTCTTTGAGGATTACAAATAAGCCATCCTTTGTTATGATGTTTTTTCGCTATTGTTTTACTTTCCAAGCTAGAGATCAACACATATTTTAATGTAAAAGAAGCTACATTTTGACTACAGTAAAGCAGAAGATACTTAATACATTAATATATTTTCATTGTATATTGTTGGTTTAATGTTATGATTGTTCAGTCAGTGTATATCTGTTTATGTACATTCAAAATTGAAGAAAAACTTTTCTCACTTGTACAGGTATAAAGGATGGATGGAGTTTGACAAGTCAAGATTCACAGCTCAACTATCAGAGGTTTGTTGTTTATTAGTTGTATCACAAACTGCAGTATTCTGTACAGTGGCTGGATACAACATTCTAATTGTATTGTAATCAACTTTAGAATGATGTTATAAAGATAGTCCTTTTTCTACTATCTTTAAACACAATTAAGAGGTCACTTAGGATAGTATTGTGTTATGATTAAAGGGTTATTTTAATATACTTGAAATATATAGAAATAATAATGCATCATACTACTTAAGTAACTGTTATTGTCCAGTTGACAAATAGGATTAGGAAACAGCTGGAAACTAATTTTTACATGTACATTTAAAAATGATCAGAAATTGATGAAATTCAACCGAAATTGTATATTTTCAGTCTGTTAAACTTTTTCTGTTCTTTATTCAGTACAATGCTTTAATTGACTGTAATATTATTCAAGTTTATATAAACCCTTAATGTCAATAATTCAGCATTTTACATCATCAAATATTAGGGATAACATACTTCAAAAGATGATCTTTATGATAAAATAGAAATATTATTTGGTTATTCAGTTTAGAAGGTTTGCTTTATTGTGTTACAAGCTCTGATCCAAGTTCTTTACTTATCAACAAGTACAACATCATTTAATGTTTGATAGATGAAGAGCACTATTCCCTAATCAAATCTGAAAGCTTGAGGTTGTTCACCTGTGAATACATTAAATTTTAACGTTTTAAAAAGAAAAAAAAAGGCCTTATTTTGCAACCTTATATTCATATCAAAAATATGTCATAATAAATAAAATCTTACAAATTTAAATATTTTTAACTGTAGAAACAGTATCCTATACTACCTTCTAATTCTATTTTTTTACTAAATCTTTCCCTTGTTTGGAAACTTCAGGTAGGTATTACTTGTTCTTCCATATACAAATATATCAATATTATTGGTTACAAGATAGAGCATTGTTAAAAAGCATAGAAGTAGTTTCTGAGATTTTATTTAGAAAACAAGCAATTGTTTATATATATATATATATGTTCTTGTCAAGTAAAAATGAAAGGTGTGCAAAGCTTTTTTATGAAATATTTTTTCTTTACTGCAGAGACCTTGGTGGTACCACGCCTTTCAGGAAATATTATTTCCGTTTTATAAAAGGTATGAAAAACTGCTGATGTGTTAAACATATTTCAGTAATATCATAATACAAATATAAAATGGCCAGGTGGTTAGGGCGCTCGACTGACAATCTGAGGGTTGCGGGTTCGAATTCCCGTCCCACCAAACATGCTCGCCCTTTCGGCCATGAGGACATTATAAAGTGATGGTCAATCCCACTATTCGTTAGTAAAAGAGTAGCCCAAGAGTTGGCAGTGGGTGGTGATGACTAGCTGCCTTCCCTCTAGTCTTTCACTGCTAAATTAGGGATGGCTAGTGCAGATAGCCTTCATTTTAGCTATGCACGAAATTAAAAAAAAACAAAAACAAATATAAACTCAGATATTATATCAGAAATCAATAAAGTAATAGAACAAACTAGATCAATAAAGTAACGGAACATACTATATCAATAAAGTAAAAGAAGAAACTATATCAATAAAGTAAAAGAAGAAACTATATCAATAAAGCAATATAATAAACTAGATCAATAAAGCAATATAATAAACTAGATCAATAAAGTAATATAATAAACTAGATCAGTAAAGTAATAGAACAAACTAGATCAGTAAAGTAATAGAACAAACTAGATCAGTAAAGTAATAGAACAAACTAGATCAATAAAGTAATATAAGAAACTAGATCAATAAAGTAATAGAACAAACTATATCAGTAAAGTAATACAACAAACTAGAAACTTATTTGTTGAGAAAAGCTAGCTCCTGGCTCATTTAAAAAATTTTATTCACTAGATTACTCCTTTCAAAACTTCTTGAGGAAAGCTAGTACAGGAAATAAAAACACAAACAATACACGTACATAAGAGTACTTAAATGATGAATTTATTAATTATACAATTTTTATCACAGAAAGTATAAAGTAAAAGCTAATAAATTGTATTTTGTATGTCAGCTTTTTACACCCTTATTTTCATGCATTCATACATTTATCAATGTATGCTAGTGGAATATTATTTCAAATGTCCCCTATTATTCCCATGATTCAGCAAAGTTTGGAGGTCCTTTAACCTTTTCAGTTTTTAAATAAGCTCACACAGCCTCTGTAATTTTCATATTGGAATTTTGTTCAGACCAAGCCATAGTTTTGAGTGTTCCATTGGCCTCTTTATCACCAAGGTGTCATTTCACCATGTTTACTGTATGTATGGAATCATTGTCTTGCTGGAGGATGAATCCCTGTCTAATAAATCATATTTCTGAGTAAATGGCATGATGAATTAGAATCTCCTTGTACTTTTCAGCAATCGGGCTGCTACTAATTTTCTATAGCTCAAGCACTCTCAAACTGTGGATCAAAACCTTATATGGGAGTTTTGGGAGGCTCCAAAAGAGAGTTGAAAATATTCAATATTTTCTTTTGTAAATATAAATATATTCAAAGAGAATTGTTTCAACTTCTCAACCCTTGTTTCCTCTCTTGTTCTTCTACAAGGTTAGGATTTTCTTCTTTTTATGTAGGGATTGGCCAAGAAAAAAATGGCAACCATATTCAATCTATTATTCTGTGATGCTTACAAATAACTGCTAAAGTTGAGTTACAGCCATATTATTGCCATTATTTAGTGTTTCACGGCTTGTATAACAGTATTATTATTCTGTTCTTCTACCACACATATTTCTGTGTGGAAATAATAAAAAGGAAAACTACTACTTACCAGCGAGTTCGGTTTATAAGCATATATTATTTCCATGTTTCATGAATACAAGTTTCATTTCTGGTAGCTGGATGAGAGCACAGATTGTTCTTATATAATGACCATTTGTGACTTTTCGTTCAACAAACATGATATCTGCCAAAACAATTTCAATAAAAATAAATAAATAAAAAATTATCTAAATTAATATTGAAGTTATCAAGCAGATCAAGTATTTATGCAACTGACAGATCTGTTTACATGTTAGTGATATCTGAATTTAAAAACACCAGTTTCGTAATTATCAAAACAATATATTTTATAGCTGTATACTTTTCTTGCAGTTGTGTGTGTATTCATGATTTTGTACCTCATAGTCTGGAATCTGTATGATGTCTTCCCTTTTAATGTATGCATGGTATCATACATCATGTTCTGGGATCTGTATGATGTCTTCCCTTTTAATGTATGCATGGTATCATACATCATGTTCTGGGATCTGTATGATGTCTTCCCTTTTAATGTATGCATGGTATCATACATCATGGTCTGGGATCTGTATGATGTCCTCCCCTTTTAATGTATGCATGGTATCATGCATAATGGTCTGGAATCTGTATGATGTCCTCCCAATTAATTGACATGACCCTAGCATGTGGTGGAGTTAATTGTATGCACATGCAGTGATTTTGGGTGAAGTTGGAAGGTGTAAGTTTTATAAATATCACCTTAACATCTGTCCAGTGCTCTGGGGTACCATCTTGGAAGAACCATCCCAGCTTCACTGGCTCCCAGTGTAATCCAAAATTAGAGACACTTATAACATGTTAACAATATATACTACGATTGAATTATAAACATAAAACAAGTGTTCCCTTATCAACCTACTTCAGTGAAATTGTTTAAAAAAAGAGAAACAAGTAATAGAAAAAAATTTCAAAAATTAAGTATGATGTAGGGATGGCAATGCCAGAAAGTACAGAAACAAGGTAGGTATGAATACACAAAACCATAAGTAGCCAGTAAGTACTGAGCCAATCTTACAAGCTTATGGTTATTAGCCACTGTAAGACTATATAGCTCTAATCAATTTATATGCTTTTATTAAAATCTAAATTAATGCAACTGACAAGAACTCGACATTTAGTTGTAGATAAAAGATATTCTTGGAAAGATTTGGCTACTAATATAGCAATTTTTGTATGGTTTTGCATAAGTTTATTCCAGATTTTCATGCATAGTTACACAAGGCTATCTGTTCTTAATTTTGAACTGCAAGACTAGAAGGAAAATGGCTAGTCAACAACACCCACCACAAACTCTTGTCTGACCAAATAGTGGGGTTTAGCTGTTACTGTTGTAGAATGGAGTCTTCCAACATTTTAATTTTTACAAGGAATATCCTTGTGCAGCCAAAACTTTGATTTCTATACACTTGTCATGTGCTATTTCAGTACTGCAAGCCATGACTGAACACACACCACTGATACTGAATTTCTGCCTGTAGTTTGTAGGTTTTATAATGGTGTAACATTTTATGATTGGGTAAATGGCAAAAACGTTACAATGTAAAGGTGTGGCTTTCTTGTAGTATTTCTTTTTATACCCCTCTTTCATTACCATTTTCATAATTATTTCCAATACTGTATTTGAAAAAATTGTTTTATGTATAATTTAAAACTGTACTCAGATTTTTCTCTAGGCTAGTTTAAATCTACTTATATGAAAGGTACAGTAAATCACTACTACCAGCACTGTAGTTTCATGGTATATTTTTATTTACAAATGTTTTAAACTTGTCACATGATTGTGCACTGGAAATTGAATAAATTATTTAACTGTAAAACATAATAAATTACATTGCAGTAAATTTCTTAGGAAATAAAGGTTTTCTGTGACCTTTTGCATTCAGCATTTTCAAACTGGTGTTGTTGTTTTTTTTCCTTTTTAATATTTATAGATGACGAAAATTTTTCATTAAACAGTTTCTTTATGAATGGTTCACTAATTTTAAGTAACATTTGCTATTGGACAAGTCAGATCTAATAATGTAGCTGTTGGCGAGAATTAAAGGAACAGTCCTTTATTGTAGAAAGAAATATCCTTATTGAATCAGCTTATTACTGATTGTAGAAAAACAATGCCATTATTTGATTAGTTTTATTATTGATATGCAGAAGGCCGAGATTCTAAGTAAAAAAGGCCCTTATTGGATCAGGTTGCTATTGATATGAAGAAGGCTTTGATTCTAGAAAAAATGCCCTTGGATAAGTTTCCTAGATATGCAGAAGACTTTGGTTCTAGAAAAAATGCCCTTTTTGAAAATGTTTCCTAGATATGTAGAAGGCTTTGATTCTAGAAAAAATGCTCTTTGATCAGTTTACTTGAGTGCCAAAGATTTAATTCTAGAAAAAAAACACCCTTCTTGGATCAGTTTACTTGATATGCAGAAGGCTTTGATTCTAGAAAAAAATGCCCTTCTTGGATCAGTTTCCTAGATATGTAGAAGGCTTTGATTTAAGAAAAAATGCCCTCCTTGAATCAGTTTACTTGATATGCAGAAGGCTTTGATTCTAGAAAAAAAAATGCCCTTCTTGGATCAGTTTCCTAGAAATGTAGAATGCTTTGATTTAAGAAAAAAATGCCCTTCTTGGATCAGTTTACTATTGATGTGCAGAAGGCTTTGATTCTAGAAAAAATTCCCTTCTTGGATCAGTTTACTATTGTTATGTAGAAGGCTTTGATTCAAAAATAAATATGCCCTTCTTGGATCAGTTTACTATTGATATGCAGAAGGTTTTGATTCTAGAAAAATTCCCTTCTTGGATCAGTTTACTATTGATATGCAGAAGGCTTTGATTCTAGAAAAAATTCCCTTCTTGGATCAGTTTACTATTGATATGCTGAAGGTTTTGATTCTGGCGAAAATGCCCTTCTTGGATCAGTTTACTATTGATATGTACAAGGCTTTGTTTCTGGAAAGAAATGCTCTCCTTGGATTATCTTATTATTGATATGTAGTAGGTAAACAATCAATTAAAAAATACTGCACCACAGTTTTGTACCTACTGAGAAGGAAAATATGTGTCATCTAAATAAAAAACTCAAAACCTCTCCATGTGTTTGTTTGCTTGCTTATCCACCACGTTCACTGCACAGGTCACACTTCCTTCACATGACAGTGAGCAAAATGACAATTTTTTCGTTGATATACGCATCTATCGGCTGCTAATCAAACCCGTAATTTTTCATTAATACATACATTACACGAATAAAATCTACACAGACCTGACATTTTTTGATAAGTTTGAGTTAACATTCAGTATAGCATTATTGGCTTATTTAGTTATACATCATTAACTAATATACATATCATTATATAGAATTATAGGCCTATTTAGTTATACATCATTAACTAATATACATAGCATTATATAGAATTATAGGCCTATTTAGTTATACATCATTAACTAATACACATAGCATTATATAGAATTATAGGCCTATTTTGTTACACATCATTAACATAGCATTATATAGAATTTTAGGCCTATTTAGTTACACATCTTTAACTAATGTACATAGCATTATATAGAATTATAGGCCTATTTAGTTATAGATCATTAACTATACATCTACTAATAAATCATATATTTAACCTCACACATAAAAGAAATGTGTGCAGAATTAGCATGTTGTGTGTTTAAAAGCAAACAGTAGGCCTAGTCTATAAAATAAAATTATGTTGTTTACCATAAAATAGACTACATGAAAAAAGTAAGGCTTACATTATAATAATTATTGTGTAAAATGACATAAAAGTCAAGTCAGTGAATGTATTTTATTCTACATTTTTGTTCTTCGGATGGTTGGATACCTGGAAGTGGATTTATTTTCTTTTAATACATTATAAAGTACAATATTGCATTTTGTTTGTAGTATATTTCATACATCTATGTCATAAAGTGAATACGGTATCACATTCATAAAAATATATTAAATTTACATCAAATAAAATTCAACATAATATTACATACATATTTACTTTTGAAATTTTAATATTTGAGTAGGGGTGATGGGGAAATAGAGTTAAACTTATCCTATTCACCAGAACAGGTACTCATATGTGTATAAGATAACCTCAATATTTTACATAAGGGTTTATTTATCCTTAACAGTGAAGGAAAAACATAAAACGTTGTTCATAAGGAAGCCCTGATTTAAAACGGGTTCTTAGATTATTTTCAAAAATAAAGCCTAAGGGTTTTTTTTGTTGTTTTTTTTCATAAATTCACAAAATATTTTTTACGTATCGAAATATGGAACAGATAAACAGAGAGAGTAAAGTTGTTGTTTTTTCTTTTTGAACATCCGGGCAATGTTGTTAGTTCTAAGTAAAGTTAGGTTTCAAATGTGTTGTTTGATTATCTTGAAGAAGATTTATAAATGAGAATTGACTGTTTAAAATCCATAAATTTAATATCGAACTATTTTTAAACAAACAGAGTGAGTATGTGTAAAACAGTAAAGAGTTGGGTGAATGTTTGTTACTTCTTTCATATGTACATTTGTTAAAAAATTAGCGAGTTGTGAAGATTGAAAAACAGTGTATTGTGAAGTTGAAATTATGTTACTTCTCATCCTTTGTAGGGATTGTAAAGTTAGTTTCTGATTTTGAGAAATTAAAGGAAGTATTTGTGTAAAGATGAGAACCTTTCATGTTATATGTTAATTTGTTAAAAAAGTTCAGCAATTGAAGAAGATGTTTGTTTCATGTTGAAAAATGTATTATTTCTCTATAAACGTAATTTGTAAAATTTGGTTGTGTGTGTGTTGGTCATTCAAGAACAAGATGTTTTATGTAGGATGCTGCGATGTGTACTCCCAGACAAACTGATTAGCCTGTCCGTCAACAAATCATCCCGACATTCAGCATGGTTAGACTTAAAGCAAGATCTTCTCGATACATTTACCTGTACTTGTCAGCCTCACCTTGCTGAAACACCACCTGGTATTCATGTTTTCTAAAAGTTTTATAGTTTTTACGGTTGACTTCATGCATGTACTTTTTTAAAATTTTTTGTTGATTACAGCTAATTATTTAGTTCAACTGATGTGTTTAGAGAATACATCTAAATCAGTTTGGTTTTCTGGTTATTAAAATTTGTTTATGAATTCAGTTATTAATTATTTTTTTTTAGTTGCTGGCATATTCAAGTTATAAAACCAGTTCTTTTACATTTTAACCTTTTAACTTTTATCTCACCTAAATAGTACAAGATTAAAAATTAATTGTTCTTGTTTTTTGTAGATAACATAAACATCTTGGCTGTTGCTTGTCTTTCCCTCTTGTCCAGTGTGGTTGACTTGATACCATTTCTGCCTCAACCATTCCTTGTCTGTATGACATTGCTGGATCTTTGGCTTCCTGGATCTGAAATGCCACCAGTTCCACTCTATGGTTGTGTGGGTTTACAGGTGAGTATATTTTTCTCCAAGTGTAAAAAATGTGTTCAAATAATAATACTTTTATTATGATTTATTTATATAAACACACAGTCACAGTACTCTTAAAATTTTAGGATATACATATACAAATTATGAATCTCAAGAAAATTAAAATTTTGTGCTGAATAGTTCAAAAAACAAAAGATGACACGATGAGTAAAAACAGTATAAGAAAAGTGATTACTAAGTGTAGTATTTGGAGTTAGCTTAGTCATCCTGACTTTTAAAAAATGTAATGCTGCTTGCAATAGAAGTTCCTGGCATTTGTTTAAACTTTATTTCATTTACACAGAAACTTCATATTATCAGCTAGATATTTGCAACATTAGTTTCTACGAAGATTTATATATGTGTTTAACCATAATAAAGGGCTTATGGAAACAGCTTACCTCTCTTTCTGTGCTAACATACTTGAAACTACATATTAACTTGTATTACCAGGTGCTCGTTAGTGGTCTGTGTGGAGTTTTGAAGAATCCAGAGTTTTTCTATGAAGTATTTGAAACAAATGTGGAGACTCCAGCACAAAAATTATGTATTCAACTTGCAGAAACTCTAGAAAAGCTTGTGGCACCAACATTTATTACTTCTGAACTTCTTATTCCCCAGAATTATACTGATAAGGCACGGGAACAACTTATGTGTATCAAGAAACTCTTTGAACCAAAAAGGTAAGTACTGGAAATTTCAGTGTAAATATTTCAAAATTAAAACATTATATAGACCAGGCAAATAAAATTAGGGAACAAACTACAAGAGTGGGTATGGTAGAATATACATGAATAAAAATGTGTCTCTAGATGTGGGGGCTTACATTGTGTTGGGAATACACTTTCTATTATATTTAACCTCAATTCACAAGTTTCAAGTGCAAAATAAAATTAGAAGAAACTAGGCACAAACATGGGTGTGTTCAAGCTCACATTGTCCAACATTTAGAACTACCCTCAGTGGGTTGTAGCTTCTAATGAAATGGAAAAACAATAAAACAAAATAGGTTATCAAAAACACAAATTATTTAATATGTCAAACTTACCTCTTGAGCTTCTACATTGGCCATATAACTCAATAAAGAGCATATTGAAACATAAGATGTTTAGGCCAATAGATACGGCTAAATAAAAAGCAAATTTGAATTTATTTTCTACCTCATTAATGTGGTAAATCACCTCATTGTTTTAATTACATCTTTTCCTTCTTATGTTGTATATTTTTTTTTCCTTTTTTGCCCCTCCCCCCCATGGTGGGCACAGCACAGATAGCCCATTATGTAGCCCTGTGTTTAACAGTAGCCAAACAAAAAAATCTTGTTTTGATTCAAATGGAGCAACTACCTTTCCTCAATTAGCTACAGACAGTGAATGATAGTTGTAGATTTAGGAAGTTTGAATTACTACATTTGCTACTAATTTAGATTCTAGTCTAATTCTTCAAGTAAGGTTTGTAAAAAGACATTAAATTTTATAGCTGACAGATCTCCACTACTTCTGTGAATACATTTTCTACTAGGTTATGCGTTACCATTCATCCCCATTCTCCAGTTTTTATTACCTCCCCCACTGAAGGTGGATGGAGGTTATGTTTTCACCCCTGTGTGTTTGTCAGCAGGATTTCTCAAAAAAATGGCTGAATATATTTGGACAAAAGTTGGTATACATTTGGATTATGACCCCCCCCCCCCCTTAAAAGTTATTAGTTTTTGGAGGGTCATGGACACAGCTAGGTCACAAAACTAAAAAACTCCCTATCTGTTAAAATAGGGACCGATTTTTCACACTATTTTTGCTCTTTAACCCAGTCAAAAATGATCAGATTTTGATTAAACTTGGTGGACATATTTAGAATATTATTCCTCATTATCTGCCAAGAACGGTCCATGTCTATTAATAAAGACAGACACATTTTCATATTTTTTGAGAGCTGAATATGATCAATGCTGTGTGGCAGAGGTATACACTCTACTGAGTGCCCCTCTAAGCAGGCTCGTGAAAATAGAAGAACATTAACGGTTACTCCTACCTATAGACTATGTAACACAACTGACCTTAAAGATATGAGTGTGTTAATAGTTTAAAGATAAAGTTTTCACAAAAAGAAGTGTGATAATTTCAAAGGAATACTAATTTCAACTGACATTTTTAAAGGTTGTAAAAGCTCTAAAACTTACAAATACACTTCTTTAATACAATATTAAAACATAACATTTCAGTGAATCACAGAGAGATACCCAAAAAGATGCTGAAGAGGACTGGTACCAAGAAGCAGAAGAAATCAGGATCCATTTTATGACATCTCAACTTCTACAAGATCCTAAAGGTACAAGATGTATATTATACAAAAGAATGTGAAAGTACAAGAAATAAGTATTTGATACTCTATAAATTTGAGATTTATAGTAAATAATGACGTATCATATTTCTTTTACCTGCTTTTAATTCTATAGGAAATTTAAAATCTTTCATTTATCTTGTTTCTCTGTAGCTTTAATGTAAACGTGTGGTCCAGAAAAACTGTTGAAGAACTGTTCAAATCTTCATCCCACCAAACATGCTCGTCCTTTCAGCCGTGGGGGGTGTTATAATGTGACAATCAATCCCACTATTCGTTGGTAAAGGAGTAGCCCAAGAGTTGGCGGTGGTTGTTGATGACTAGCTGCCTAGGCCCGGCATGGCCGGGTTGTTAGGGCACTCAACTCGCAATCTAAGGGTCGCGGGTTTGAATCCCAGTCCCACCAAACATGCTCGCCCTTTCAGCCATGGGGGCATTATAATGTGACGGTCAATCCCACTATTCGTTGGTAAAAGAGTAGCTCAAGAGTTGGCGGTGGGTGGTGATGACTAGCTGCCTTCCCTCTAGTCTTATACTGCTAAGTTAGGGACGGCTAGTCCAGATAGCCCTCGTGTAGCTTTGCACGAAATTCGAAAAACAAAAACAAACTAGCTGCCTTCCCTCTAGTCTTACACTGCTAAATTAAAGATGGCTAGCGCAGATAGCCCTCGTGTAGCTTTGCGTGAAACTCATAACAAACCAATTGTTGAAGATTGCCTTGTTACCTATAGCAGATAATACATACTCTACTTGAGGGGGCATTGTGATCTATTTTGTTTATGTAAAAGGGTCAATAGTTGCAAAATCCTTTGTTGGCCAAGTAGATGATGTTTGTATGTTCCAGCCAGCAAATGCCATGAAAGAACCTGGGTTAAGGTTCACTTCATTCTTGGAGGCTAAATTCCATTCATCAACCAATGTTGTAAAAACTATTAACTCAATGCTCCAAGTTCAAAACAAACTCTCTTGCAATGTACATCGTATCTAATAAATCTGTTTTATAAATAGTTAACATCATGAGATGATTAATTCGCCATCATAATTAACCTACAATAACAGTTCTGTGTAGAGTGCTAAAAGAACAGTCACTGTTAGCACTTATAGTTAGTAAAATTAAAATTAGTGTGACAATATGTGAAATGAATTGCTATTCTCTCTCTGACAAACCCTTCAAGTACTGAACATTTCCATTTTGCCAGTGGGGATTGACAAGAGTTGTAGGTGCACTTGCGGATATCCAGGCTAGAAATCATTCTTGAAGAACAAACTGATTGTCACAATCTGCTTTTGAAATGGATTTCTGCAGTACCTTCTGAGTTTTTTATACAAGTGTTATTGTCTGGTTGTTCAAACCAGACAATCTAAAGCTTAGTAGTAAATCTGATGATAGTTATCTTTGGTATTTATATGTTTGGAACTAAAAGAAGGTGAAGTTTCATGGCTGATTGGAAAACTCACCCATTTTGGGGGGATGTGGATGAGAAATATTAGCTTACAAAGTATGATATTTGTAACTCTCATGGAATCACTAGACAGTTGATTTATTTATTGGTGTTTCTTACACATAAGTTTCAGATAACGTTAAGATTCATTTTCTGGTACTTGCTCAAATAGATTAAGTTCTGCAGCCTGAGTAAATTCCATGGTGCCAACCAGGACTTTTTTCCAAGGGAATAAATCAAATTTGGCTTCTTACTTGAACTTTGATGACTAGATGGTGCATAGGTTCTTTTGGTCAGCTTGACTGATAACTTGATAGGAGTGAAACTCATAAATGGTACTACATGGTTCCATTTGTACAATAAATGTTTGCACTTCTGGTTTCATGCTTGAAGGCTTATAAGATTCTTTAGGGGCTACTTTTATCTATTGATGTGCTTTGAGCTTGTTGGTTGGAGTCTTTATTTAGTCTTGACAAAAAATATCCTTTGAAACTCCAGTAGTCTTTCAAAGTGTGAGGTAGTCAAATTATTTAACCATCCAATTCCATTGCACATCCTTCTCATAGCCTCCTGCCATGTTTTCGACCTTTTAACCCTCTCGCTATGGGCTTGACCGAGTTTGTAACCATTAGAGTATGTATATTGTAACTTTTTGTATGTTTTGTGTGTCTTATGAAATTTGGCAAGCTTTAAGTAAACATTACAAGTCTTTTGTACAATAAAAATCTGATTTTTTGATTAAGTATTTTCACTAAAATTTTAATCCATAAATATATGTAGCCAAAATGTTGACAGTTCCAAGTGCAAAGTGATTTTCATGTTAAGATTAAAAATATATTTCTTCATTTGAAAATTATAAAATTTCATTTCCATAATCACTAAAACCTCTTAAATAAATATCATGAATAAATGAAGCTTTATATTTTCTTTGTTATATATATTCGGTCAGTTTGACCGATCTTGTAACCACCATAAAAACATCAGAAATTTAAATTACCCTTTTTTCTTTCTAGAAGAATGGCAAATTTTAACAGGAAACTACAATTATCCTAAATAGCTTAAACCTTGTAACAGTACACTTAAATTTTATTGCTATTTGACCTGTGTCTAATTAATATTTCACTACACAAGTTTTAAATCGCTTAGCAAACATGTAGCTTAAGTTACCACATTGAATTATATAATGCATGAGCTGCTTGCGATCATACCTCATGAACTATTATTATCTTATCTAATCTAACCTAATAAATTTCTAACTTTTATATTTTAGTTACTTTTATAATGATAAAGAATACTCATGAAAAACAAAAATGTAGTACTTATCTGGGTCTTTTTTTTTTTTTTTGGTGTTAACTGTCGATGAAAGTTAAACCTACTTTTTTTTTTACCCTAGTGGTGTTATTACACTAAATAATTATTACTTAATTAAATAATGCACCTAAGAACACAGAATAATAACATACACAAAGCAAAAATGTCCAATAACTATTATATTTTATCGGGCTTTCTAATTATGTGATAACAGGCTTTAAAATTTAGCTAAGCTTGTCAATGTGAATACTGTGAGAGAAATTTTCAAACTGGAGGTGAAATATACAATAGTCTGTACGAAAACGTAACATAATATGTCGTTTGATAGATTAAAACTTTAGCTTTCTATTGGTTATAAATAATACAGTATAAAACATCAGAGAGGGCAATTTATGAAAGAGAGGATGTGGCAAGTGGGTCTGGTTTTCTAATTTATGGCTCAGAAGAGGAAAAAAAAGAAGAGAATGAAGGTAATAAAAATTATGCTTTACATTAGTAATATATTATACTGAGTAATTTGTGTTAAATTCCGTACTTCTCCGAGGGGGGTCATAAATAAATGAGAGAAAAGGAAAGCCCTAGACAACAAATATCAGAATTCTCATACTAGGGGAGATTTTTAAATATTTCCTTATAAAATTAACAAATTACAACATATAATATTAAAATTTCACTCGTTGATTGTTTTGATACCAAGTTTATTTGTTTACTAGGATAATAAAGTACTTTATTTGAATTTTGAATGTAACTTAACCTACCCATAGCAGTGTATATGTTTAATATATGTGTGGTATGTCAATATGTTTCAGTCATTCAAATGAATAGTAAAGCCTATATGTGGGAATTGAGTTATTAAAAGGTCTCAATTGTCCAAGACTGATGATCAAGGTTTATTTTGTTCATTATACTAGCACATGATTTCCAATCTCATTTTATTTGATGTTTCCTACTTTTATGCCAATGATGTTGTAATGAGTTTCTGATTAATCAATGCCAACAATCTACATGACAGAGAATTGGAAAACAGAAACTGGTATCAACTTGGTACATGTACATATGTTGCCTATATTAAAGGGACACTGGGATGCTAGGATAACAGTGCATTATAAATGAATAAAAAACCTATAACCCGAGCACTTTCAAAAGGTGGACCTTTTTTCTTTAGGGGCAAACAGATTCTCAGTTTGCCCCTGAAGAAGAAAGGTCCACCTATCAAAAGCACT